GAGAGAGAGAGAGATGTAAGGAGAGAGAGAGAGAGAGAGAGAGAGAGAGAGAGAGAGGAGGCAAAAGGAAAAGAGGAAACAGAAGAGAGGAAGGGGATGAAGGTAAGTTAAGGGAGTTTCTCCCCCTTCTTCGTTTTTTTATTATCTTATATTATTATTATATTTAATACATTGATCGTTTGGTTTTAGGGACTCTCTATTGTTGGTTAGTCGCCAATGCCATTGAATCATCATGCATGGACCACTCCTTCATTTAACTCTCAATTCAATTCCTCTCCCTTTCCCCATTACTTAGAGTTAAGTATTACTTAAAAAAACACTCAACTTTTTTACCTTTGTTCTCAAACCTTAGCTTTCGACTACTCTTCCTTGATGATGATATGTGACATCAACTTGCACCTAGTAGCAACTTTTGACCAAACCCGTCTACTCCCACAAAATAAATCATTTATAAAAATTTTCATTAAATCATAAGCATTAATTTAAAATTTAAAGAACACAAGCAGTACAACCTGCAAAACAATTGAATAGTAATAAAGAAACTGATAGAGCGCTTTTTTACACTGTCACGATTGAGTATACTTACGTACTTAAAACAAAAGAAAGTTTACAAACCCACCATGTTAATAAAAAGTAAGGGATTTTAGTGATGTGGGAATCTGAAATTGAAAGGCACAAAGACAACCACATGGTCTCCAAACAAGTACTTTGAACTTTGAATTCAAGTGGGGAGCAAAGAATTTGTACCACTAAAGATTGTGGGGTGTCCTATGCAAAATGGATTATTGCATCTTCATTCAATAACCATAGGGACAAAAGATACTCGGCGGAACACTCTAGATGACCGGTGGCGGGTTACTCTTACTTTTACTATTTATTCAACTTCAGGACTCAACCCAACATAATTGAAAGATTAAGTTTAAACTAACCTTATAAACGGTTAATCATCTTATTATTAAAGTCGTACCTTACCATATGAAATTAAGTCGGGGCCATATGTCTCACAAAGGTGTAGATGAAAGGATTCCTAGTTATTCATAATTTGACAACCAAAATAAAATAAAGAACCTAATGATGAGATAAGCCATACTAACCAACCAACCAACTAAAGCCTTTTTTTAATGAAATAAATGGTCACAATGTTCAGTGGAGCAAGAAGGGCAACAAATTCTAAAAGCACCACCACAACCAAAAGCAATAGTTCCTTGGCAAATCGTGGGGGTATGTATTTCAAAGTCAATTTAATACAAACATTCAAAGTCAACGAATCCCGACCAAAATATCTGTAAAAAATAAACCAATCACCGTCGATGATCACCGTCATTAAATTACAAATTTAATCTCTACAAGATTTAGTTCTTAAGTTTCATGGTATGTGAAATATTATCAAACTACTATGACAATTTTAAGTTTTACTACCGTATGAATTAAATTCTAACTTTCTCAACAATAAAATTAAAATTTAACCATCATTTTAGTGTTCCATACTCATCAAAATTCTCTCTCGAAGTATTTTCGAGTCGAGCAATAGGAGCAAA